AAGTTATTCTTGTTGAACTTTGGAGGCTTGGAAATAGTGCCATTGTCATGGTAAGAAGGAGCAGAGTTAGTAGAAGAAGAGGTCATTATAGATCTAGCTTATGAGATTAAGCTACCTGTTATGATACCACTTGTTAGTCCTGAATGGGATGGCAATAAATAGAAAGTAATTGTAAAAGGGAGGTTGAATACGGGTTACTTACACCTTTTTCAACTTTTTAATTCTTATTGATGTATATCTAGAATTAACACACAGAGAGATAGTATAGATTGTTGCGGAAAAAGGAAAGGATAACCAAACCTAAACAATCTTACAAAGAGAAAAACTTACAAGAACAACACAGAGAGTACTTGCAAGGAAATGAAGAAAATTAAGTTTTTCTTCATACACAGAAAAATAGGAGGATAGAATAAGAGAGTTGATTGCCTTGAGAAAACATGTAGTAATTCTTTCAAGGAAGTGTATTTGCACGGGAGATGCATACTACCTTTTATACTACCTTCATGCATTAAATACATGGGACACTTGTCAACTGAGATAAGAAGGCAGGGGTTAACTTGACCATTGATGATATCTCATTTTCATTGTACACCATGTGCATACAACACTGTTTACGCATAGACAAACTTTTTTAGAAATATGATCAGTCTATAGGGAAATCTTCTTTAGATGGATTAGTAGCTACAAACAGCTACTTACAAATCTTTGGTGCATGAAGATGTTTCTTCAAACGATTAGTAGCTTCAAAACATCTTCAATCTTCAAATCAGCTACTATGGAGTATTGGTGTGTAATTTAGACTTTTGATCCACAGTACCGCATCGGTGACCTTCTGTCTTCACATCCGCTAGTCTTCAATTTTGCCAACGACTTTAAATATGTACCAAGAAACCAATATACAAATAAATCAATAACTACTAAGTGTTGACATGATAGAGGAACAGGCCAGTGAGTCATCACCAAATCAATAGGTGACCCAACATTACCTTTATGGTTTTATGAAACTGAGTTTGTATAAATTGAACAAAGAATGGTATAATATGAAATGCTTAACTTTTCTGTTTCTACAAATGATTTCAGTTTGATCTACTATGGTCATATAAGGAAATATTTATGTTCATCATATGTGGGAGTATGAAAGGGACCCCAAACATCAATATATAACAAACCAAAGATAGAAAAATATTTGGATTGACTTATATAAAAAGATAATTTATGTTGTCTTGCTTTATAACAAACGATACACGAATGAAACAAACTTTTATTACAAGCATTTGGAGCAAGATTTATTTGTTTTAGCTTGTACAAAGGAAGAGCACCAAAACGTAAATGCCACAAGGGAACTATCTTGTTATATTTTTATAGTATAACAACACTAGATGCAGAAAAACCATCAGAAACACCGTTCTTGACTTGATTAGAATTCAACAAGTAAAGATTCCCAACCCTTTACCAAGTACCAAGAGCTTCTTGGTCAAAACACGATGTATCAGAAAAAAAAAACGAATAAAACAATTGTGCATAGAACTCAATTTGGTTGTATAGAGCAAATTACAGTGAGAAGAAGGTACATATAACACATTGTTTAGAACTAACAAATTTGATAAAGAAACATTTCCAATTGACTCACCAAACAACATGTTTCCATTTGGTAGGGATACTTTCTCTGGTTTTGGAAGTTTTATGAGATTGGAAAACATTGATATATAACTGCACATATGGTCAGACGCCCTAGAATCAATAATCCAGAAACTAGAAATAGGATCAGTCAAGGTTTTACCTGTACATGCTGCAAAACCATTTCCTTCATCTACTGCCTTTGAATCACTTGAAGCACTCGAAGTATTCTGTCTAGAACTAGACTAACAAATTTTTTAATCTTGCAATTATTGATAAAGTGCATGATCTATTGATAATCATGACTAGTGATTTCAGCAGTTCCTTCAACAATGTTCATGGAGGATGAAGATCTTCTTGGATTATTGAATTTAAAGTTCTCTGGAAATCCATGTAACTTGTAAGATTCTGCTTTAACATGACTTTTCTTTTTACAAGAGTTACATTTAAGAATTCTTTGTCTCATCATTCATGAAATTTTTTCCTCCTGTAGAACTTTTTTTGTTTGCCAACATTGCCATGTCTCCAGTATGAATCTCATAGGAACAGTAACTTCTCGTTGTTGTTCTTCTTCAATGAACGTTGCATAAGCATTGACATTAGTAGGTGTAGGTTTTTCATGAATAATATTACCTTGAACTGGAACGAAATTGTCATTTAATCCAAACAGATCCTGCACCAACTGTTGCCTTTCCGTTAACTTTATCCAAACTTATCTTGCCGTATACGTACAATCTGGTATATCATCAACTGTAACAAATTCATCCCAAATTCTATTGAATCTGGATTAATATGTAGTAATTGAATCAGTTCCTTGTGCTATTTGATTCAATTCTTTTTGTAACTGAATAAATATGACCATAGGGATGTTTAGGGATCAATTGATCGAAATATAAAACCCAACGGCTTAATTATAAATCTAAATAATTAATAAACTCTCAACTAACAATTTTACAAGTTCTAATTAATTATAAAAACAAATTTTCAATGGCTATTTTGACCGGTCTTTTGAGAGGGCTTTTTGCACTTTGAGACAGGCCGGAATTGAGACCAAAAACCAGTTTTTTTAAGCCAATCCCATGATAGAAAATTGAGCCTGATCGGGATTTAAGACTTGGACTAGCATGTTTGGTGCTCAGACCTTTTTGTGCATTTTCATTTGTAGTTATAAATTGCCATGAGGATAGCTAGTGCATGACAAACTAAAATTCTCTTAAATTCACATTATATGCATACTAATTAAAATCAGTTAAAATTGAAAAACCTTGAACCACAGGTTATTGAAGGTCGGAACCCCAAAGTTGTAATTTGGACCTTAGGATTGGGGTGAACTACCTAGAGTTGTGTTTCCTAGCCATGCAACTTGCCGAGTGCCGAGACCTTTTCGTGGCTTGGTCGATCTCATTCCCTGTAACACCACTTGACATTAAAATTATAGTCGTCATGTGACTATTGTAACAATTCCTGTCACTCTTGGAAAGTCAACTTTCTAGAAGTAATTATTATGCGACTACTTCATGTTTGAAGGTATCTCAAACAATTTTTAATACATTTCTTTAAAATAATAAAATTAAATGTGAAAATCTCTTGATAATATCACACTTAATTTCAATAGATTTTTTACTTTAAACATTTTACTTTAATTATATAGTGAAAATATTCTATAATTATATCATCTTTGATAGAGAATAAAATTTTTATTCTCTCTATTTTAAAAAATCTGTTATAGATGATTTTGCTCTTCCAACATACTGAAAATAAATTTACTGTTCTTAAATATGCGAGCATTTTAATTAGACTAGAAGGATACTCGTATAATGTAGTGAGATACATCTCGATTTAGTGTTTCGATTTTTTTTTGTCTTAGTCGATGTTATAATACAGTTTATGTGGTTTTGAGAAAGAGATAATGTTTTTATTATTGAATAAAATATAAATATGAAGATATCATAAAAAAATTATTGATATTAGTATCAAACTAACTATTTAAAATTTCTTTTTTTTTTGTGTCTTTCTTTAATTTATTTTTTTATTTTTGGTTTGATAATATAATTTTTTTTATAAAGATAATAATTAAGTATTTTGTTAGAACTCAATGATTATTCTAATTATATTTTAGTTTTTTTTATATTTAAAATGAAATGTTTATTCTTTATTTGATTATGTTTATCTGAAATTAGTTACACGAATTCAAACATGAAGCTTTAATAAGTTGCACTTATGCACAATTTACTTGTAATCTTGAATTTTAAGTAATATGAATCGATAAACAGTATTTCATACATAAAAAATGGTTTTTAAATTTTTTTGTCAAATGCTTTATCATATAGTATAGACATCTATCACCCGTTATTAGATGAGAGACGTGCTCTTCAAGATAGAGAAATTGTTGGTTCATGTCTTGTTAATTAAGGAGATTTTACTAGTTCTAATTTTTTTAGCATTGTATAACTATAACTTATTTATTATAAAATTAATTTTTCGATTATATAATTAATTGGTATATAATTCTATATTGTCGATATTTATCGTAAATGGATGAAATATTACACATAGTATGCCGATCCCCATCAACGTATTTTTTGTTTTTCTTATCACTGAATTGATCTTATATTGTATATTGGTTGAAAAGATTTAACCGTCGCCTTTAACGTTCAAACCCTAGTTATAAATTAGTTTTTTCAACATGGAATTTTAGAAAATTGTACGTATACGTTAATTACTTGTAAACTTGAAATTTAAGGGATTATGTATCAAGAAGTTGTTTTTAGTACTTTTAAATATTGCTTTATAATACAGTAAACACAGTTAATTAGGTTGTTGGACAAATAATTTGCTCAATCTATATATATATATAGGGTTGGGTTCACGTGAGACCAGCCTGTTTTCGTGAGACCCGTGAGACCACATTTTTACACGTAACCTTCACAGCAAAAACACTGTGAAGGTTTAAAAAAAGTCGAACCTTCACAGCAAAAACACTGTGAAAGTTTTAAAAAGTCACCTTCACAGCATTTTGCTGTGAAGTTTCAAGTGTAAAATGTTGGTCTCACGGGTCTCACGAAAACAGGCTGGTCTCACATGATCCCAAATCTATATATATATATATATATATATATATAATTGAAGGGGCAGTTTAAATAGATAACCATATATATTTTGAAATCGTAAAAACCATTTATTTATGTCGAGTATCATGAATAATAAAAATAAATAATATTCTTGATAAATAATATTGATATATACTAATTTTAAAGTTATTTTATAAAAAATAATTCATGATATATTTGGCTTAAAATATCAATCAGTCCCGTTTAAACTTTTCCTGATAATTCAAATATCATTAATAAGAACAAAATATGAGAACCTTTATTATTATTATTATCGTAAATCCAGTTTAACATACTATTCCAATGAAGTCGTATAAAAGTTGTACAAGTTCTCTAGGAAAATACAATTAACATCGATGGAACACAACCCTTGATGCTTGAACTTAGTTTGCCCTCCTGCAGTTGGTCCTAATCTGGCCATTAGTACCGGTTAAAGGGCTAAGGTTCCCCATTGTCACCATCGCATTGGCAAAATCCGTAAAGAAAGCAGCAGAGTTGAGCCTGTATCGGTCAACCTGAGCGTTTGTGGAACCTCCACTATAAATTTGTTGATCGGAATGAAGAAGACCCCTTTGGTTAACCAAGTTTCTAAAGAAAGCGTTATCGAAAACAGTCGGAGTAGTGCTGTCGAGAGGAGCCAGATTGGCATCACCACCGGTTCTAGGGCAATTTGTTTGCATGGATAATGCAAAAGATGGATCGATGTTGGTTTCATTGTAGATTCTCTCTCTAAACACTCCACAGCTAGCTTGCCCGATTTCATGAGCTCCTGTTTTACACATAATACGACAGTCATGAAAATTGTTGTAGACTTGTAGAACAAATTTTTTTAACAGTTTCTTCTTGTTATGGATGTGCACATACCAGTAAGAGCAACCATTTCTTGTGGAGAGAAACCTTTGTTTCCAAATACAGAGATTAGCTGAGGAAGATCCAAAAATGGCGAGGGGAGATCGGAATTAGCGGCATCTAAACTCGCAGTGGCCGAATCCCTTCTTCCAAGAACCACATTCCATGTTTGTCCACCAAGCTGAATATTAAAAGTTTCGAATTCAAAAAAAGGTTGTTGACCAGATCAACACACAAAATTGCGAAATGGTGATTCAATTTGAGATTTATACCCTTTTATTTTATTGTATAAAAGAATTATAATTTCCCTCTAAAATTGTTACTTCGGTCCTTAAATTTTCAAAATTACGTTTTTCATCCTTATGGTTTTTAACATTTCATTTTTTTCCCTCAAACATTTAACTGCGTTAATATACATCTGTTAAGTAAGAGGTATTTTTAGTATTTTTACTTTATCTGGTTTTTTTAAATTTGAGTAGAATGTCATTTTTTTTATTTGAAAAAAATGATAAATTTGAAATTAATCGTGAAATAATAATTTAGTTTGATAACATAATTTATTAGTTATTGTAAAATAAAATATATGTGAGCATAAAAAGAAAATGCTTAGAATATTCTTTGATGTAAAAAATGGGGTAATGATCTAAAGAATAATTGGTTTTTCCATCGTTTTTGGCACCGTATTAATGATTTGGACTTACAGCAACAGTAGCATCTCGAGCAGCAACAGTTAAGAGATCTGCACATGAGACCACGCCAGGACATGAACTCTCTAATTGAGATTTTATGGTATCAACGACTTCAAAGCCTCTAATTGAATTCGCATTTGAACGACTTGATTTCTCCCCGGGGGAAGTGGCAGTAGCATCTAACAAAACTGATGCATCACAACCCTGTTTTAATAGATCCAAACACATCGAAGACAATAAAAGTTGTGTAAATAGCATACCCAAATTGCCAGATATATATATATATATATATATATATATATATATATAGGGATTTCTTTTTTGTAAGGGTTTTTATAGAAAGATATTCTAAATATTTCCACATATCCTAACATGTTATCATAGTCAAAGACTACTACATTAGAAACTTGACACACTCTTTCGCCAGTATTCTCGGGGCACGTATTTCTTTCGTTTGATGGAGGTGTTGGTGTCCCACTTCGGCTAGACACATATCATCAAATATGTGTATATATATATATATATACATGTTATATATGTTTGTGTGTGTAGAATCTGCCCTCTCCTTACAATGACAACATATCCTATCATAATATCAGAGGCATGGTCTATATCCATATGATCTAGGAACTCGACACACTCTTTTGCCTTCGTTCTAAGAGGCACCGTCTAGCCTCTGTTTGAGGGGACGTGTTGGAGCTCCATATATATTGTTCTAGTGTAGATCATCAAACCTAATTTTTGTTAGGAATTTCCATCTCTTTATAAAAGATATTTTAGATATACATTTTCAAAAACGGTTCCATATATATTAACAACAATCACTTCTTTAAAAAATAGTTGGACCATAGTCCAATGGTCAATACCATAGTACTTTGGAAATTAGCATTAAATTAAAGGATCAACTTACGTTAACAAAACAATCATGAAAATGAAGGCGGAGCAATGATGCACCCATGCGGCGCTCTCTTGCGATTGCAGTGCTAACACCACCTCGAATAATAGACATAGCAGTCGGGCAAGTTCGGTTGTAGAAGTTAGCAGTCAATTGCGCTGAAGCCATTGATGCAATGAATAAGAAAGTGAGGCATATGAGTGGGTGAAAAGAAGATGAAGCCATGGCTGATGGTAGACTACTTAATAGCCAAAGGGATAATTAAAGGCAACAAGCAAGAAGTTGTTCTTTGATGATGATTTCATGTAGAGCCTTCTCATGTGTTTATATAGGAGAAAGAGAGAGAGATTGATTTACGTACATGGCCAACTTCTCTTCAAGTTTGAACACATGTGAAATGAAAAAAATCCACTTTCACTAAGTATACAAAATTCAACTCAAGATTAATTCAAACAAACATCTCCAATGGTGGGTACGTCCATCAATTCAATAGAATTTTTAAAAGGGAGTAATTCGATCAAAGGGTTAATATGAGTTCGAACTTTTTCTTAAACAAATAAATTGATGCATTTCTTGAAATAGAACAATATAGTTTTTCTGACGTGTAAAAATGGACTAGGAAATACTTATTGTGTTAACAATCATTTTGGAGAATCTGAAATAAAAGTCGCAATTAATTTTCTTATTTTAACGATTAAGTTTCTATATATATATTTTTTTTTTGAACAAATAAATCCATATACATACTGAAATCCAATAAAATGGTTCATTTATTCGTGTAATTCGATAAGGGCAAGAATTTATTTGTTTAAAAAATTGTTTGTTAAAAAGTTTGTTAGAGTTTTTAAAACATTTTCTTTTTAAATTAAGTAAAGAAAATAGTGATTTTAAATGTTTTTCAATAAAAGTTGACCAAGAAAATGGATTATTCGAAATGAATTATGATGGGGAGGCAATGGAAGATTCTTCGTCTTCTTTTAAATCTTTAAAATTTATTTTGAAGGAGAAGAAAGATGAATTGATTCTTGTTCGCTTATTTGTGAAATTTGATTTTCAGGAGATTAGATAAAAGAAAACTACTATTTACTAATTAAATAATTTAAAGAAATATTTAATTCTAGAAATTAGAAAAATAGAAATATCATAATTTTTTTTAATATTTGAGTTTTTTATTTTAACAAAACTATAGAAGAATTGTCCAAGATATCAATATTAGAGTAATTAGAAAAATAGAAATATCATAATCTCACCAACCCAACTCAATCTAACGGAAATAATTTAACATGAAACAATCTGATATCTAATCGAGTTGTAAATTCTTTAAACTGTAGGTATTAGGTTAATATTGGGTTACTTTAATTTGAATTCAATCCAACTCGACAAACTCGATATCCTTTTATTTCTTGAATTTAATTGATTGTTGCGTCTCTGTTATTATGTATATTAGACAACTACATCATCACATATCGTTTTCATATTCAAATATTTTCAATTTATTCTCCATCTCTATATAACTCCTTTATATATGTGTTCAGTAACTGTGAACATATATATATATATATATATATATATACAAATTGAAAAAATTAATTGAATGTGATATACTTAAAGGTTAAAAAGTAAGGATATATGTATCAAATGGTTGATGATGAAAAAGAGTTATGAGTAGAGAAAATAACATATTGAAGTTTAGAATAATACTTTGATGTACCAAAGTATCAACCTAACCAACTCGTATGTTCGGGTTGGTTGGGTTGCACTTCGGTTTGGGCTGGGTAGGGTTGACATTTTTCAAACCATAAGCATCAGGTTGGGTTGTTCAAATGCTTTCAACCCCACCAACCAACCCATGAGCACCCTTAATGCTAGGGGCGGTTTGTTTTCTTCTTAATAGTTTCATTAAAAGACAATCTCTGAATCCCTAAGAGGTTAATGTTGTTTGATAAATAAAACTCAACCTCTTAATGCTTCTAAAAGCCTCTTTACAATTTTGCATTTTGAGCCTCCCTAAACCATCTGGCGCTCCATTTTTTTCCATGATTATCCTCTTCCCTCACGCATCTCTCTCATGTCGATCTCCTACAAGGTTTTCATGGATTGAGCCACTCTCCATGAATCTAATCCCCCCCACATGTTCGATTTCTATTCAAGTACTCTCAGGTTTCTCCGTTCTTTTTCTCTCTCACTCAAAACCCTAATCCAATCTTGTTTGAAAGATAAGAAGCGACTGACCAATGACAACCTCTATACGATGGGCGGACCTACCTAAGTGGCATGGGTGGCACGTGCCACCGTATTATTTCTCCGCCGAAGGGTAAAAATAAGTTTTTTAATGGTACTACCGTATCATTTTAGAATGTGCTATCGTATTTTCAGAAATCCAAATAGTGCAACTAAAACCCAAATAAAACAAAGCCCATATAGCCAAATCAAAATTCTAAAATGCAAAGCCCAATTGTTCAAACCAAATCAAAAAATTTAATAAAATTAAACAAAGCCCAAAATATATCAATTAATCAAACAAAAGGCTTAGACCAACTGCCAACAGCCCTTAAAGACTAAAATCCATAACTGATAGCAGTCAGAAGTCGAACTCAGATGTGAGCTAGGGACGAATCGAGCGAGTAGCAACAACAAGTCTGCAAATGAGCGACAACGAGTGAAGACTCGGACGATAGTGAGTGGCGATTCGATTCAAGACTCGAACGAGTCGATTCTCAAACGATTCTCGAATGATTCTCACTTCAGTCACTTGCTATTTGATCTCTATTTTTCAGGTTTACCCATTTTAGGTATCCATTTTTACTCTTAATCTTTGGTTACTTATTTACTTACTTACTTACTTACTTACTTATCTATTGATCATCAATACAATTTTACATTGTTCTAGTTCATAAGTTCATTATTAATTAGTTGTAGTTAAGACTGTTTTTGTGTGCTGTATAAGCAAGAAAAATCTTGATTGCTTCACTGCTAGTCACTGGTGCAAAGGTCTTACCATAATTAATTTCCTCTTGTTGACAGTATCCTTTTGCTACCGATTGTGCTTTGTTTCGGACTATTATCCAATCTTCGTCTTTCTTAAGACCCATTTAGTTCCAATGATTGGTTTATCTTTTGGCCTTGGAACTAACCTCTAGAGTTTATTTCTCTCAAATTGAAGAAGTTCATCTTGCTTAGAAAGAATCCAATATGGATCGAGTAATGCCTTAGATGGCTTCTTAGATTCAATTATTCTTAGAAAAATTCACAAACAAACATTCATTAGTAGTTGCAGATCTAGTTATTGCTCTACTAGATGGTTCACCTATAACCTGATGCAGGGGATGATTTTTAGTCCACTTGTTTACATTTTGTAGAGTTTGGATCACAGTATGATTATTATGATTATTATGATTATCATTCTCATCATGAATAACATGTATCTTTGATTATTCCTCCTGTTGTCCCTCTATAGATTGAATTTTTGAAATGGATAACTTTGAAACAACGGAATTGTTAGTCTGATTAGTAGAGTCATAGTTTTGACCCGTTTCTTCCAAAATCTGAGTAGCTTGCTTAGAGATTTCTTCACTTTGTGGGATTGAGGAAGAATCAACAATCGCTTCAGCAGGTCCAGATATATTTGTTTCACTTGTTTTTGGTTCATCTGAAGTTGGAACAATTTGTTCTCTAGAAATACTTGGATTTTGATAATGTAACGCCCCAACCCACACATTGCATGTAATACATATTTCATACAAAGGAAATACATAATATCATTTCATTCGGGTCCCTTAATACAAGAATCTAACATGACCAATTACAAGGTGCAAAATTTCGAAATACATTTCTTGTACTAATCAACCAAAACTGTACAGCAAAGACAGATCTTCATGCAGAAATGCATATAGGAAAATATTACACCTTCCCCTTTCCCTTACCATCTGTACCTCCTGCAACACATAGTTAAAATCACAAAACGAGAGTTAGACCGAAAGGTCTAGTGAGATACCCTATTTATGTTATTGCAGGGTGTAAATCACCAAAAACTTTTATGGAAAACAACCTTTCATATATATAACAAATATATGAACAATTAAAGACATAACACCAGATCATAATATCTTTTCCAGCTAAACATTTAGCTATTCAAATCTCATACCTTTGTACTAATCAGGTTTTATATAATGCCACTTTTAAACTTTCTCAAATCAAACAAGGTTTACATAAGGCTTCTGGCCAAACCTGATATTTTCTCCTCAATAACATCCAAACTATGATTTCCAATAAGAACCTTGATCCTAAATCTTTAAATCACAAAGAAATAAAGACTCCGGACCACAGTAGTCTTAAAGGATATAATAGAATGAGTTATATCATACAACACACATACAAATGTCACCCTTATATCCAAAGGTACACCTCTCCTTGATATGCCACCCTTATCCCATGGTACACCTCTCCTTGATATGACACCCTTATCCCATGGTACACCTCTCCTTGATATGCCACCCTTATTTCCTCATCAAAATATTTCACAGAATAATTTCAAATAAACCGTAGCCATTGAAATTATTATTAAAACAAAATCATTTATTTCAAAACTTCTTTTTTATGATAAAATAACATTTCTTATTGAAAACACAACATTACATCAAATCCGGTCAATCTTGACTTAGCCGGACTTCAAATCCGGTCAACTATCCTGACAACACAGCCTAAGCTTTGTCCGATTTAACACTTAAACAATTTTCAACTTTGTCCGGATAACAAATCCGGTCAATACCCCGCGTAAAGCTTGAACGATTTATCACTTAGAATATAAACCAACATCTTTGTCCGGATAACAAGTCCAGACAATACTCCGTTCACAACTTAACCGGTTTAAAACAATTCGGACAACAAATCAATCACCCTTTGTCCGATTTAAAACAATCCAGACAACAAATCGTCCATCATTTGTCCGATTTAAAACAATCCGGTCAAACCTTGTCCGGTTTAATATCCGGATAAACATTTAGAGCAAAAAAACTGATTTCTATCCAAATTCAAACAAAAATTCATATGAAACCAGTAATAATCTTTATGCAAAAGAGTTTTATAAACTACTCACCTTATGCAATCAGATGAGATTCAATCTTCTTGAAATCAAGCACTTGCAATTCGATCAACCTCACTTTAAACTTTTACACACTTCTTCAAAAATGGCCAGGAAAAAAAAGATATGAGGGTCTCACCTTCATATTTATACTTTCTAAATAAGGTAAGGCGGCTAAACCGCCCTTACCATACATATATGC